CTCCACAACTAGATTGAAGAACAAAAAACGACAGCAACTTGTCTGTTCCCCTTTCGCCAATTTCCCAGCACTGTTTCCATCCCCCCAATTCCCCAATAAAAATCTTAAAAAAAAAAATAAATAAAATAAAAAATAAAATCAGGTTGATTAAATGTTGAGCTCTCGCCATACTCTGAAACGAATGTTTATTCCCAGAGCTGATCAGTAAGCATTAATTCCCATGTTTAAGGAAAAGTGATGGTGGTTATAAACCTTCTTGGCCACACGGGGGCAGCACAAGGCAGCACCGGTTGCTCTTTGCTGCTCAATCTTTTGGGACAAAGCAGAGCTCGCTCCTGGTGGAGCTCCGTTATTCCCCATACACCCGTTTGCTTTTATTTTGGTCGCATGGACTTAAGAGCATGGCGAAGCTCTTAAGATCAGAAACTAAATTACAATAGCATGAATGTATAAGGAAAATTACTTAAATTCATTATAACTATATATTTAGGGCTCTTGTCTTTTTATCAGCATGACAAACAATATATTTAATGTACTATCGTAGTGTTAGTTAGCCACTTGCCTTTCTTAGCCAAGAAAAATACTCTTCATTTTTAGTGAGCCAGTTTAGTTTAAAATCCATGTGTTCTTGGACTCAAGGGACAAAAAGCAGCCAGGAATTTTTTTTTACCTTCCTTACTGTTAATAAATTCTTTTGAGTAGCCACAGACTGTAGGAGTCTATAGTAGGCAATTAGAGAAAGTAAAAAAAAAAAAAAAGAAAATTCGTTCCTGGCTTCTAGTTTTAAGGGCATGTGACTATCCCACATTATACTTGTGTCTTAGGTCCACCCAGGATCACCAAGATGCCCTACCCATAAACAGCTGCTGTTGATTTTCAGCCCCTTTCCACTAGGGCATATCTCAATATCCCGTCCAAGCCTATTTCCGTGGAGGCTGACTTCACTGGAATGTTGAGTAAAGCGACTGTAATAATTGTCCAAACTGGGACACTTTGGGGAATAAAAGGAGCTGCTCTTAATAATTTTATCAGAACAGCAAACGTAAACCAGAGTTATCCTGGTGACAATTGAAATGTCTGGTCATGCTAATCACAAATCTTTTGCTCCTTTCATTTTTCCCTTTGATGATTCCAGTGCAGATTTACGTGGCGCTGTATCAGTTTATTCTTTCATTCAAATGTTCATTGAGTGTTTTCTGTGTGCTAGGCTCTCTATCTGTATTTCATTGTTTTCTTCTTTTGAGAACCATCTGCGGTCACTATTGTTATTCCTGTTTTTGCAAATGAAAAAAAAAAATCAGAGCTTTGTAAATTACCTGCCCAAGATCACAGTACCAGCAAATCTGACAGCTCAGATTTGAATCCGCGCTATCTCTACTCTAGAGCCATATGCACTCAAAACTGTACTGATATCACTGACCGTGTCCCCAGGCTTTCTTTATGGGCCTGACCCCATCTGACACTGTCCCTCCAGTAAAGTCTCAGGCATAAAGCAAAGTGGTTAAGCCTGGGTTGAATCCTAGGTCCACCACTTAATAGCCTTGTGCTTCATTGACTTTCCTCATCTATTTTATGGGTACAGTTAGCTTACTATCAACCTCAAAGGGTTGAGGTGAGGATGAAATGAGTTAATACCTTTGACATTCGAAGAATGCTTTGTTTGCTGGGTCAGGTGATAAAACCATGCTGTGCCTATTTTCTGCTATTAAAGTAGGTTGGGATGACATAACTGTTCTCCAAAGCAGAGAGTTTGTATTTTTTGAGGAGGAAGGGGGACATGGAGCTGGTAGGTAACGAGATGGAAATGGCAGGACAAGGGGGTAGATTGTGGCATTATGATTTTACTGACTAGGGATTCTGCTGGGAACCAACAAGAGAGGGAGGTTAGTGAGCTGCACAGTGCTCCCTGGAGGAAGCCGGAATGGGCACTTCCGGGCTCAGACCCGTGAAGTTTGGGGTCTTACCAGAACAAGGAAGATGTGCTGTGGTGTGCACCTGTGACATGTCTGGCATGTCCACCTGGAGAAACTCAGTTAGTCTGGGGCTACGGAAGCAGAGCTGCAGAGGAGCAAGCAGACCAGCTAAGAAACACCTTGGCTGCTGACCAGATGCCAGCCCTCACTTGGTCACAAGCCAGCCCTTGTGCCTGCGGGCGTCCTCTTCACCTTGGAGCAGTGGCACTGCAGCAGATACACACGCCACGTGGAAAGTGAGAGCATCTCCCAGAACCACTGCCCAGGAGACAGGGTCCTGAGGAGCTTTTGCAGTTGTCACAGGGACAACCTTCTCTTTTTGGTGTATTTGTAAACGGCCCCTATGCACCATCAGCTTATGGCAGCTGTTCTGCTCCACGTGGTTATGCAGGCACCTCTGGGTACATGAGGATCCACGCGCACTTTGCTTAAATAGATTGTGTTTGATATTTCCCCCTGAGAAAGTGTGCTTAGCAACTTGGGAAGGAGGCGCCCAACCTGGGTCTGGGGGCTAAGATGGAGAAGATTGGACTAAACTGCATGTGGTCACTTTGGGACAGTTTGCTGCATTTCTTCATTTTATTATGAAGTTCACTTTGGGAAACTTCACCAGATGCTCTTTGAGAGCCAGCCTCTTGGCTGCCACTGAAGTGTAGCATCTTGTCTCCCCCTCCTTTCCTGGGAAGGTGGTCTCTTCCACTGCTGTGCAGCTGGGGAGGGACCCCAGACCACAGGTGAGGATGAGAGGCCCTCGTTCTAGCCACCTGGAAACCCTGGCAGTGAATAGCAAGGCCAATGCTATAGCTCGGGGGTCGGTAAACTTTTGAGACGGAAGAGCCAATCCTGTCCCTCACAACAATTTAAAAATTATTCGAGAGCCATAAAACAAATGAAATCGCTATTATGTGACTAATATCCTTTAAAAATTTTATAAGTGAAACTATGATAGTTTTATTTTCATTTTCAGTTTTACTTCAGAGCCACATGTACGTACCCAAAGAGCTGCATGTGGCTCGCGAGCCACAGTTTGCCGACCCCTGCTCTAGCTGAATTGCTCTCACATGTCCCAGGAATTTTTTTCTTTATACATCTTCGGAATTTTTACTTATTGCAATATGCATGTAATACTTTTTGTATTTAAAAATAATTGAATAGGGCCGGCCGAGTGGCTCAGTTGATTAAGTGCTCACTCAAGAGTTTGAGCTCTGAGCAACAGCGGTTCGAGTCCCTGCCCAAGCTGAGCAGCTGCTGAGCTGCCAACAGGTGGCAGGGTGGCTCAGCTAAAAAAAATAAAAAATAAAAAAATAATAATAATAAAAACTAAAAATAATTAAATAGCTGAACTTTAAAAAGGAAGACAAGGAACATGCTCTCACATAAAATATCTCTAAATGATAATAGAATACATGGAACTTGTGCTTTAAGGTATCTCACAAGTCCACCCATTCTGTAGGCTTCCCAGGATTTGGTTCTAATAACAAATGCTGAAGGACCCGAGACCTCTTAACATAAAGGCACATTTTCCCCCGTTTTCCTTCATTTCTGGGTATTAGAGAATACATTTTGCTTCATTGTTATTAGAAACAAGTGCCTCACATGGATTTAATTCATTGTCTGTCCTATTGTCTTCTAGGGGCTTAGCAAGTAGCAGGTTTCATGGGGTTACATTTCGCACTATGAAAAAACTGCCTTCTAATAGATAAAGGTGCTTAGAAATTGTTATGTCCATTAGCCCTATAATTCTACTTTTAGTAATCTAAGAAAAAAATCGGAACATGCACACCACACATAGAAAGTTAGGCAAGAAGATATTTGTCCCTAATATTCATCCTTAATAGCACAAAAAGTCAATTTAATTTTCCAACAGTAGAGAATTAAAAGAGTAAACATTGATGGCTGAACATTATGTAGCAATTAAAGACTAATTAGGCATACCTTGTAGAAGATTTTAGGGTAAACTGATGTACATTGACCTGTGACCAAAGACTAATTGCATGTTCTCTGAACTTTGTCTTCTAGTGTTTTGCGGTACGCTCTCTGGGATGGGTAGAAATGGCAGAGGAGGACCTCGCCCCTGGGAAAAGTAGCGTTGCTGTCAACAACTGCATCAGGCAGCTCTCTTACTGCAAAAATGACATCCGGGATACAGTCGGCATTTGGGGAGAGGTAAGTAACACGTGGAAATAACTAATGGAAGATTTGGTTACATTATGCTGTGCCCAGAAGAGCCCAGAGCTCTGTAGGGCGTGGCGCTGAGGGGCCATGCAGGTATTTATCAGGTGCATTTTCCCCTAAAGGCAGGTAACGTAGGCAGATGTGTCCCCTGTGATCTGCCTGTTAGCACTGCCAGGTCCTAGTGAGGACGGGGCCCTGGGAGAGAATGTTGCTGAGTGTCTGAATGACAGGGTCTAACCTGGTATCCCCAAGTCCCCAGGGATCCATTGAGGGCCGAGAAACCCCTTAAACTTGCATTCAGAATTGGGCGTGCCCGGATATAAGAGCAGCTTTCTGGGAAGAAGACCCATGGCTCTCTCCAAGTATATCCTCAAAAGGGAATGTGACCCCTATATATACACACAAAGATGTTGATGCCCTGCTCTAAAAGTAGACAAATTACCCTTTATTGCACGTTCTTCTTTATTTACAATCTGAAAATCAACACCGTGCATGAATTTTGGAATCAATATGTTTATATTCTTTCTCACTTTGAACAAAGTAATTCCATGTTGAAATGTTAGTTGAGATCATTTCAGAAAGGAAAGTAATGTTAAAATACCAAATTTGTATAAAAATCACATGAAATGGGAAAAGCCATATTCCTACCATGCTCTGAGACCTGTAGCACAAGCATCTTGGCGGGGTCTTGGAACAGCGCTTGCTATGTGAATCTGCTCCACTCGATCCCTACCTGGTTAACGGAGCCTCTGTTGCCTTTGGGAGGACCAGGTACGGTTTCTAAGATGAACCAGCCCAAAAGAAGTGCATCACCCAGCTCAGTGAAGGGTGACTTGACCTTGCCACAGGTCACATCCTACAAAGCACGTTAACATATCAGGTGATAATGTCAGCCCAAACAAGCCTGTCCGAGTCTGATAGTACCAGTGAACTGTTTGCCATGAAGCAGCTGCACTGAAGGTGGGTGGGTAGATGAGGGGGGCAGGGGATTACCAGGTGGGAGCTGTACAGGGAGCCACTCAGTAGTTGGTCTGGACAAACATCACCTTTAGGCTATAGCCAGTGCTTGATTCCTGGTGGGAAGGGACAGAGAGGAGAAGAACAAGGCACCAAACATCCTTAGACAGCTGTCAGTTATCCCAAAGCACATCAACTGGTTGGCCCCAGAGGTCCTGGGACCTGGTCCTCTCTCGGGTTCCCAGCTCTCCATGGCTCTGTGATCACACAGCTCCTGACCACCGCTGCCTGGTGGCTCCCCACTAAAGGCTGAAGGAAAGGAGCCCAACCTTTAATGGAAGGATGGGTGGAGGACTGCAGCCCACCTCTGTAGCTTGGCTCCTTTTCCTGGCTCTGCCAACCATTGTTCAGCTACTGACCAGTTGCACAGCTTCTTGGAGGCAACTGAATTTCTCCATGACCTGCAACTCCATCATGGTTAATCTGCAAACTGGTTAATTAAGAATTGGCTCTTGGGCCGGCCAAGTGGTGCATTGGTTAAGAGCTGGCTTGGGATGCCAGAGGACCCCAGTTCAGATCCCACATATGAGGGCCAGTAACACTGCCCTGTACAGCGAAGATGCTAAACAACAGCTCGACCTGGAGCTGAGCTGCCGTGAGTCGCCAGCTTTGGCAGGTGGGTTGCCATGGGCTACCGTGTGTAGCCAGCAGCCAGCGTGAGCGGCCAGCGGCTGCAGTGAGCAGCCATTCAGAAGCCGGCGACTGATCTGCCTCTCCCGGGAAGAGCGCAATGATGGTGCCAACTTGGGCCAGTGAAGCAACGTCCTCTACAACTAGACTGAAGAACAAAAGGACAGCAACTTGTCTGTTTCCCTTCCCCCAATTCCCCAATAAAAATCTTTAAAAAAAAAAAAAAGAATTGGCTCTTTGCCTAAGGTCTGGACACAGCTCTGACCTTGAAGTGTCCGCAGACAAAGGCCCACGGCAAGTAGAATGAGCTGCAGTTCCCCCACAGACATGTGGGGGCGCCGTAGGTATGAGGTGGCGGGCAGCTCGGTGCTCCAGGCGCTGTGGAGTCTGCAGTCCATCAGTCTGCACAAGCTGAGTTTTATGCCAGGGCTCTCATCTGAAAATGGCCTCCCCACCCTTTGGGAAGATTTCAGATTGTCCTGGATCTCAGTGGTAGACTCGCAGCTTAAACATTGGCCAGCAGAAGCACTGAAAACCCATGTCTGCCGCCTAAGCAGCAGAGTGTGTGTTCACTCTGAGAACCTTGGATGGGAACCTGAAACATCATTCTCAAAACCAGACCACAGAGTAATTTACATGTCCTACTTTGGGATTTCAAAACCCACCAAGCTAGACCACCTTAACTTCAAGAGTACAGCGTCTGGGTTGACCATGACCTTCAGGAGACAGCCTTTCAGTCATCCAGCCCAGTTTAATAATTTCTTAAAAGTACGCCTGAGGAATTGCAAGGGGAATAAAGTTAAATAGTCTAGCATTCTTGCCCTCAGAGAGCCAACATATTTGAGGAGGCAGAAGACCAAAACCAGAAAAACTAACTAGCAATATAAGAGATGAGAAATTTTGGCCTCCCATTAGGTTGGTATTAACACAACACCCATGCAGCTGAAGGCCTCATAGGTTCTGTCAGACCTCATAGGTTCTGTCAGACCTTGAGCAAGTTATTGGGTTGTCAGAAAAGTCATGACGCATCTTTGCAACGAAAAACATAGAAAAAAATACATTATGACTTTTCCAACAACCCAGTATTTAGCCTTTAAGCCTTTGTTTCCCCATCTGCTAATTGGAAACAATAACAAACCAAGCTCTCAGGGCATGTTGGAGCGTTCATGAACCAACGTACCTTGACTTAAGCATGTGACATAATACTTGAGATGTGATAAAGTCATATAAATGTCAGCTGTGATGGTACTGAGAAATGTCACAGAGCCATGTCCACTATTTGCCAGCCCCATCACACAGACATGCAGTGGTGTAAAAGTTGATAAGAGACAGCCATCATTGTGGGTCTTGGAGGCTGTCCAGGAAATGCCTCGTGGGGTCTGGACAGAGGAGAAGGAATGGGGAGACAAGGGTTATGAGAAAAGGCTGGGCATGGAGTTAGTAAAACACCAGATTCTCCAGCGAACCTGCCATTAGCCTTTTTTTCTTCAAGATTCAGAAATGTAAATAATTAAAAAGAGCCAGCTAGAAAGCAGGCTAGGGACACATTTCAGCAGACTTGGAGAAGGAGAGAGAAATTGGGTATGTGAGGGGAATATAAAAGATTTATGAATATTTTAGTTAGGAGAGGATGTTTCTTAGGAAAACAAATTTTAGAGCCAGTGGGTGGCTTCTTTTGATCATGGAAACGACATTCCTGGGTAGCCACAACATGAGGGTGTATAGCTTCACAAGGAAGATAACATGTTTTCTCCTTGAATCCAGGGAAAAGACATGTACCTGATCCTGGAGAACGACATGCTCAGCCTGGTGGACCCCATGGACCGCACCGTGTTACATGCACAGCCCATCGTGAGCATCCGAGTGTGGGGCGTGGGCCGCGACAATGGCCGGTGAGTGCCTTGGCGTGGTGCGCTCAACTTGTCACCAGTTTGAGCTTAATGCCAAAGTATGGTCTTGCTGTTACGGCACTTCACTGAATATGCAACTTGATAGGAAACTCTCTGTAGAAATGTAAAAAGCTAAAGCATATCTCTCTGTCCCCACCTTCTATGCTACTTCTCTTCCTGGTTTCTGCACCTCAGTGAAGCTTTTGTCAGCTCTGGGTCCTGCCTTCAAGTTCTGCATATTTCTCCTCCTGCTCATCTTCATTCATCTAAGCTCCCAACTCACCCAGGCTCTCTGAATCCCCACCTTCCCCACCCCAGCTTCTCTGCAGTCTATTTTAATCCTCCATTTCATTCAGGCGAGTCTCAGCCATTTCAGACGCCCTCCTACTGGTATTTTCTTCTAAGAGGGCTTGTGTGAAGGGAGAGTTTTACAACCTTCAATCGCCAGCTTTAGATCATTAAGTCACCATAATCAGGAACTTCTGGGGTTTGACGTTGACTAAACTTTTTTAACACTTGAAACATCTGGTCATGGCAAAATTCCATTCAATGGACAATTTTTCTGAAATTCTGAACATTTGTTATTTATAGAAGTGTTTCTTACTTAGATGTGTTGTCAATTTTCTGTTCTCCAGGATGACTGGAAACAAGGAAATTCTGATTTTCAAATACATATTCTAACTAAAAAAGTGGCAGTTATCAGAGACATCATATTTGGATACCATTGTTAAGTAATTTGGCTACATTAAAGGCATTTAATTCTTAAATTATAGTTGATCCTTGAACGACGCAGCTTTGAACTGCGTGGGTTTGCATGTAAGTGGCCCCCAGCAGTTCGAACCAGTGTTGTTCAAGGGTCAACTATATTTTCTACCTGCGGTTGGGAATCCGAGTATGTGAGGGCCAACTTATGTTATAAGTGTATTTGTGACTGCTCAGGTGTTGGGCGCCCCTGACCCCCACATTGTTCAAGGGCTAACTGTATAGTTAATCTTTGGCAACTCTCAAGGTACCTGAGGATGTCTTAGCATTTAGGGATGAGCTGTAGGATGATTAGTTATTGCTTTGCTGAGAATGGACAAGAGCATTGCAAAAGTTGGTGCAAATTGCGGAGACAGAGATGACTCTCCTGGTTCCATTCTTGGGCATCCTGGCTTATTGGGCTGTGTGGTGCACTCTAAAGGGCTCTGCCTTGGCTTATCCCAGCCTTTGTCTACCAAGGCTGGGCATTAGTGGATTTGATAGTCTTTTGATTCAGTTACAAGTCCTAAGCCAGAAAAGAAAATGGTTAAGCATTCACCAGTCAAAGAACAAGCATTTTTGCTGGCACGAGACTCCCATAATGGGTCTGCCCAAGAGAGCTGACTGCTGATTGGATAAACCTTCCTGGGAGCACAGTTGTGTCTTTGAGCTTTTGTAATAGAGTGATGAATGGTGACAGCTGGGACAGGTGCTTTGGGGAAAAATGAGTGGATAGATTATGTGTACACACCTGCCATTCACTTGCTTGGCAGAGCTGTAGCACTGGAGTTGGTGCATTGACATGAATTGATTAATTTTACAAGAGCAATACCTGATGATGTTTGCTCATCATTAAAAATGTTTAGCTGTGATGGAAAGGTGTAAGATGCTTGATCCTTTCCTGGTTCCTGCCCTCCAAGTTTGTGTGTATGCATAATAATTGACAGTGATGGGGACATGGCAAATGTTTAATGAACCTTAGCTCTTGATTTGTTAAAGCAATAGATTCTAGTGGATACAGCTAATTATGTGGCTTCCCTTCAAAGACAGGGTGGGGATATGGGAGGGGCCAGACCCCAGGGAGGTTTCAAGAACAGTTGGTTATTTGATACAGAGGATAAGAGGCTGTTCCAGACACTGTGAGCTCAGTTGTCCTACAAAACAGGAAGAGCCCCCCCCCACCTGCCGCCCCCCAATGATATCAGCGTAAATTAGGTTACATCACCTTGGTTATGTTTTTGAAAGGTGGACTTGGTTACCCGTGTTTTTTAAATCACGTCTTATTCCTACTCGGTGTTAACAGATAGGTGTAATTTAGAAATTCACTCAGGGCTCCATGTGAGCTGTCAGGACCTCAGCAAACTCATGTGATGGTCTGTCCCCTGAGTTTTTATTCCCTAGAAGAAGGGGCCTTTGTATTCCTGCCTTTTTTTTTTTAACTTTCTCTTGCTTTTGATTCTTTTTTTTTTTTTTTACAGCAATTTACAAGAGCAAATTCAATTTGTAATGCTGCAAAGGAAAGGGGTTTTCACTTTGCATGAATAAAACATAAAAGCATTTCATTTTGCTTGTGAAAACCAGCCTATTTCACATTCTCTTTTGTAACTTCCCTTGCTGAGAAAATGGAATCTCTTAGGGAATTTCTTGCTATGGTTAAAATGAAGAAGAAATGTATGTAAACCAGAGGCTTGAAGGGCACAAAATTCTTTCTTGAAATTCCGAGTGCTTCACTAACCCATGTAATTTTAGAATCTACAAAGTCATTTTGGGTTTAGCGTTTTCTTAAGGCTTTCAAGTGGTTTTGATTTGTTCTGAAGAAATTCCTTACAGAGTAAGTTTACCTTGGATGAGGAGGTGATGACTGTGGCAACCCCCCACTGATCCCTAAGGTTGATTCGGAGAAACCGCTTATTATAAAGGAGTTTCAGTCACATCAGTTGTTGATTCTCTGGTGGGTGCTACGGTTGTTGCCTGATGGGGCTGAAGTTTCTGTCTTGTTCCCAAGAGTCATGCCTACTGTTGAAGTTTCTTGGATCACATTTGCATTATTGCCGGGCAGAGGGAGAGCTGCCTCCTCTCTCTGGACTGTTCTGTAGTTTGGTTCCTTTTGATCACAGTGAGATACAGTGAAGGCCCCCAGACATGGAGATTGGTGAAAGGGGTTTCGTGAGAGCCTTATATTTCCAATCAAAGACAGCAGTGGGGAGCGCCCAAACTGACCTGCTTTGCTCCTGTGCTCGTGGAAGGGAGGCCATCCTTGTGGGCCTAAACGGCTGTGGGCCTTAGAGCTGATGTTTTGCCCCTAGTGACTGGGGCAGACAGGGCCACCTCCCATCTCGTCTCTGCCTTTCCACCGCTGGGGTGGGAGGGATTTCAGGGGCCCATGCTGATTCCTGGACACAGCTCTCTTTCTATTCGTTGGGGTCCTGGAAAGAGCTTTATCTCTGTTCTTTTATAGAGGAATCTGAAGCAAGCAACATACTTTCTGAGCATAGGAGACTTTTAACAGGGACTCTCCTTTCCCCTTGTGGCAGATAAGGGGCCATCTTCTGAACACACAGATCCTGTGTACACTGTTCAGCAGTCAGTAAGTGCACTAATCCCACCTGTTTCCCATGAGAAAGAAAAATGGGTGGATGGTGTAGCCAGAGCGTTTCAGACCTCATAAGTGGGATTTTCCCAAGCGGCTTCCATGCAGTGTACCATGGAGCACTGATCAGGTAGGATGTTCATAGACTTTCCTTGAGAAAAGGAAAAGGGTTTAGGGTCATTTGGGAAACTAAGTTAAACAAAGTGCAACAGGCACCTCTGGACCCCCTCGGGGGTTCCTTTTCATGGAAATGCTGTCACATGGATCACACTTTAGGAAGTTCTGCTCCGGTCAGTCAACTCATTAAATTAATGGCAACACTAGATTGCTATTTTTACTTTTAAGAAAAATTAGAATTACTTTTAATAAACAACAATTAATATTATAAGTGGCGACCCCATCAGGCCTGCTGTAATAAAAATAAAATGCCTTCATAATTAATAGCAGCCATCACAGCATTGTGTACAAATGCTTTTTAAAAAGTATGTTTTTTTTCAATTGCACTTGACATTCAGTATTATTAAAGGTACTTTATTAGGCAGGTTAAATGTTGACCCTGTGATATTATCTATGCTTTTATGCTTATAGTTAGTATAGCAAAACCTCTCTTCCTAAAAAGCATTTTATACATCTCTTTTCTGGTTTTGATGAACAATTTTTAATAAAATTGTACCATTTGGTAGATGATTCATAAATTTCCAAGTGAGTTTATCTTTGACTTAATTGTCTCATCTGGTTAATATCTCGGGGAATTTTTACCTAAAAAATATAGTAAGTCTCAGGTGTACTGAGTATTATTTTTTTTTCTGTTCTCTTCTACAAGGATATTCCCAACTGGTTTTTTCCACAAGACCCTGGTTTAAGTTGTTTTAGAAGGCTGTTACCACACATAGTTCATGCTCTTATTTCCCTGCCAGTGTTGTTTTGTTTTAAGGACACTGTTTAAATTGGCACAGGGGTGGAAGGGGGCCTGTTGGGGGAAATACTGGAGTTAATTAGTTAAAATATGCAAAACTTTAACTCATAGGGTTTTAAATTTAAAAAGTGTTTTAGGCACAATGTCTTTCAACCTCTATTTTAGAGATTAGGAGGCTGAGGACAGAAGAGGGTGGTTTACCTTAGCTGACCCATCTAGTTGTTGCAGAGAACAGACTCCCAGTATTTTCCTCTGTCTAAATAGGCCGCTCCTCTGTTAATCCTGACAAGAGATGACGGATAGTCTAAACTGGCCTCAGGTCAGCAAGGAGGCGGGGCTCTACGGTCTGGCCCCTGTCCTTAGGAATCCTGCTTCTTAACTGAGGAGGTAAAACACAGGTGTGAATTGAAAGCAGAGGCTGACAAACAATGGCTAAGAATGGCTTTGCATCTTTAGTGGGTTGTTTCAAAAAAAGAAAAATGAAGAAAGAATACCGATGTTGGGGACCCAGTAAGTATGACTGGCTCTTTACAGAAAGAGCAGTAGAGCAGTAATGCATTCAGGATAGAATGAGGCAACCTTGTGGCTGCTGTAGAAAGCCATTGTGGAAAGGACAAGTCTTTCTGACTCTTTCTCTCCTTTCCCACCTGTGTCTCAGTTCTGCCAGCGTTACTGGGGTACCTGTAAGAACTGCTCAGCCCTGCTGCTGTTCCTAGAGTTAACCTTCTGTGTATTAAATTGTACAGGACAGGCTCC